ATGTATGTATGTATGTATGTAAAACGCGCCTGACTGTGTGTGTGCGTTTCGTTGCATTCGGCAAAGCGTAGAATCGCGCTTGACCAGGTGACAAACGAATAATTTTCATTTGCTTCTTCAAGTGCTTGTGGCCGGGCGAGAAAGAACGGGAGCACGGTCTCTGGTTTACAATGTTCTTGCCCGCGGACTCTTTGTTGGTAGCAGTAGCAGCAGCAGCAGCAGCAGTATCAACAGCGGTGTGGTATGTATCAGAACAAAGCGTTCATGAGCACACACATGAAAAAAAAAAAACTAGTTGGAGTGGTGCGGATGTGCAGGCTTGTGTTGGATGTACCAAGGAGGCACCGACCGGCAACTGGTGCACACCCGTCGCAGCGCCTATCGCATCGGGGACGGGACACCTGATACAGTACCTGGCATAACCAAAACGTGAAGACGAACCCCTGTGTTGCTTGTGTACAACGGGGGGAGGGGTCTTGCCTTATTTTTTTTGTTCTTGAGTTGGGAAGGAGGGAAGTCCTGTGCCGACGGCCGTGGTTCTGTTGACGACCAAACTCGACGAGGGCGTTGCTCGTATACATGTATGTTTATCTTGAAAAATGTATGCAATTTTCTTCGACCCCACAATTTTTTTTTTTTCACCACCGGGTCTTGTGGGTGCCGTCACGGGCAATACGTACGTGAAAGAATCGTCGAAATGCATGAATTTAGCCAGAAGTTATGACCGGTCAACAAAAATCGCCCTTACAATTGCCGGCACTGCTGTACCCCCATTTTTGTCGGCCTGTACCCCCTTTGTGTGTGTGGCAGGCTGGCTTCGCACGACGAGACTACTGCCGCAACCGCCCCCTCGGCAGAGATCGTTATGGCAACGAGTACTGGCGGTTCGCAGGGGACAAGAACCTAGTCCTCGTGCGTAGACACGGCTGCTGGTGGGGGACCTACGACGGTCCGGAAAAGGTATTTTGTTGTGGTACAGCAGTGATATATGCATGCATACCCGTAGTTGTTTCATACATAAAATGTCTACCGTATGTTTAAGACGCGAAACCTTTTCTTGTAGCATTTGCATACATACCCGTAATTGTCTTCGAGGTACCAGGTACCAAGTATCTGCACAGACGCGAAAATGGTTCTTTGTACTACTCCTGGGTATGTCGAAGGTATATATGTAATATGTGAGTCTGCAGTTACGAAAACAGCAGCCTTCACACAACATCCCCCCCCCCCCTCTGTCGATTCCTCGTGGTGGCCTGTGTTTTTTCTTGGTTCGCCAGATGCAAGAGCTGGTGCGCAGCTTGGACGTGGACATAGACAACGAGAGGAATCTTCGCAATAGGTTGGTGGCACTGCTGTGGCTGTGTTTGTTGCCGTTTACCTACTGCTGTAGATGCAAAAATCAAGAAACAGCGTTGGTGTTTGCGATGCTTGACACAAGTGGGACACAGGCGAACCGACCTTCAGGGCCGACAACGTCAAGCTCTCTGTAGAGCTACGCGTGAGGTTTTGGTTGGAATGGAAGCTTCGTGTATGCTGTCACCAAGTCCCATACGATATACTTCTATCTGCCTCTTTTTAGCTTTGGTGTTCCCTGCAGAGAAGTTTGTGTCCCCTTTCATATGTTGACCGGCCCATTCAGTTAGTATCCAAACGGCCCGAGATTTATGCATTAAGGCGCATAGGGTGGCGTTGTACAGCCATGATCCCCCCCCCCCCCTCCTTCTGCCCGAGGTGCGCGCCCCCCTTTCCCCTGGCTGGCTGGCGACACTGGGCGTCCCTGGCTCTTAGGCAGAGATGGGTAGGATCTGCCGCTGTACTCCGCATGCGAGCGTGAAAACCACGAGTACTTCAGTATTTCCCAGCCACTAGACGCGATGTCCTTCCCGACCCTTGCCGGGATGTGAGTTGAGGGCGGAGAACACGACCACGTAAGCGTGTTCACCCCCCCCCCCGCCCCCGCCCCCCGAAATGTCCAGGCTTCACGAGGCCGTCGACGTGTGGGGTGTGTCGGATAAGGTGGACCTGTACCTGAAAGCGAAGAAGGCGGCGAAGGAAAGGGCGGAGGGCGGCGGCGGCGGCGGGTGGGGTGTGTGGGGCGGGTCGAAGTCCGGTAGGAAGGGCGAGGGTGGCGCCACCACCAACCTGGAGGACAGGAGGAAGGAGGAGGCGGACCGCATCCGCGGCCACCTTGAGAGGGTGAATGGGCCCTCGCAGTGGCAAACGGTAAGTGCGGCCGCGGCGGGTTCTGCTGCTGCGAACGAAAGGTCGTGCCGTCTGAGCACCGTGCTGCGGGGAAGGCCACTGAGGTTCATTTTTTTTTTTTTTGCAACGGCGGCACGGCACCCCCCTCCTCAAACGATGTCGTACTACATTTACGAATGTAGTTCTGCAGGGTTGGACGCACATGCGCACCACCGCTCATGTTTTTTTTTGCGTGAATCAAACCCCATGATCGAAAAAGCCACAAGCGAAAAAAAAAAATCCAAACCAGATCAAACAATGTTTCACCTCTCTCTCGCATTGAAAAAACTTAAAACGGCAGTGCCACAACGCTCGAGACTCGTGGCTTGCGACGGAGTGCCGGTCTCTCGAAGAGTTCCTGCCGGTGAAGGCGGCGGGGTCGGGGGACGTCGCGGCCGACCACCGCTTCGTGTTGGGGAGCGTCCGCCAGCAGCGGCTCTTCGCCCGGTCGGTGGAGCTGCGTCTCGGGGAGTACCTGGAGACGTATGACGACGAGAGGATGAAGGCGGTGGAGTCGGCGTATCGCAACGGGGACATCGACCGGGTGAGGGTGTGTGTGTCTGTGTGTTAATTGTTAGCGTCGACACCGCGCTAACCGGCTGACCAATGAAAATACGTCAGTCTCGAGTGCGATTGAAAAATTGTGTGTGCGCGTAATTCTTTGGCTTAGCCCTACCCGTCTGACCAATGACAAATAGGTCGACGTTGTGTGTGCGTGCGATCTTGTCCTCTATATCTACAGGTTGGCTTCTTGTCTGCTCTGTGTTTTCTCTTTGCTCTGTAGTAGCTTCATGTTTTTTTTGGGTGTTGATTTTGTGCAGCGGTAGTTGCCGAGTTCCGCCCGTGGCGTTGCCGCCCCGTTCTTTACCGTCGCCGCCAGCAGTACAGCAAGATTTTCGCGTTGGATGGACCGAATGGCTCTTGTGTACTCTATTGTACATGTTGCACGTCCGCGAAGCGTTGTTGTTTCGTTGGTGTGTGTGTTTTTCGTTTTTTTTTTCGGCTCGTCCTTCTGCCAGGTGTTTTTTCGCCACTTTTCTGTGTGTAGACTATCCATGTCCTTCTCCCTCTTTTACTCCTACTCTCTCATGTCAGCCCCCCCCCCCCCCCCCCG